ATATATATATAGCCATAGCTTCTACTACACAGCTGTGCTATGAATTGAAATTCTGCCCAGAACCCTTTCTAACAAGTTTCTCGCAACTGTTTTACAATCTCACATGGCTCTATCTGGGTCACCCAGATGCTATTCTAGATAGACATGATCTGCTTCCATATTTGCAGGATCCCTGCCAGCTCTGTGCCCCAACAATCTAACTACTGCAACTCACCTGATTCAATGCAGCTACAGACTTTTTATGAAAATGGTGAGTCTTCCCCGTGACCCAGGGCAGAGTGAGTACAATGAGCTGGGCAGTGGGCTGACATCTTCTGGCCAAACTCGATCCTACTGTGCCTCAACTTCCTCTACCCAGGAATGGTTCATCTGTCTCCATGGTTATGATAGGTGGTGGATATGGAATGACAGGAAGAGGGGACTGTGTCATGATGTCTCCTTTTTCTCTTGCAGTGTCTGTTGTAAGTGGCGATAAGGTTTATTCACTGGTGTACCACAACCAGCAGGAGCAGGAACAGGTAGCAGGTGAGACATGGGTGGCATAAATCTGTCTCTGACTTTTGCCTTTCCTGGATCCAAGAGAACAGTCAGTGGCTGTGCATGGCTATCTGGCATTGCTACTCAAAGCAGCTGCTTCTGTTTTTGGAGGTGCTGCCAGCATCTCTGTGCCTCCTTGAAGACTGATCTTTAGTCTGAAAGTGCCTCATGGCCTTACGTATAGCTCAGTGCTAAGGCCACCTCGACTGACTTTGTGCTCCAGTCGCAGGCAGATGGGAGCCATAGAGATGGTGGTTTCTGCTTGCCCTTTTTGAGTAACCCTACAGACTCCTATGGTTTCCCATCACAGCTGCCTAGTTGCTGCTGTTGTTGCCTTGCACATGGCAGGCCCAGAAAAATCAAGAGATTAAAAAGGTGTTGTCTATGCTGGGAGAAGAGAGGGGAGAATGAGGGGAGATGGCTGCTTACCGTTTCACTCCAGGCTACTGATGTTTTCCCCCTGAATTCTAAAGCAATCCTATTTGTGATGGCAAAGCAACACAGGTTCTAATGTTGGAAATCAACCCATGGGAAATAGGGACAGAAGAAGCTTGTACGAACAGGAGTTTAATGAAAGGCTGTTCGTTCTCAGTGGAATCTCACAACGCTTACGTTTTGCTCCTCAGGTGAACGTGTGGGGACCCATACGGAGAATGAGGTGAGCACGGCCCCCATTATTCTTCCCCCCGTGCATTCTCTCTGCTTTCTCTAAGGGTTGCTTCTCAAGTTTCTGAAATTATAATCATGAAGGAAAAGAAAAAAAAATCTCAGGGTCCCTTATCTTACAATGGAGGTAAAAAGATTTAATCATAACAATAAGAAACTACTCTACAAGGGGATTTGGGAGGTTTACATGTACCTTTGCTTGAGCAGTGGACGTATAGATGATTTGTATTTCAATCACAGTGTATACCTAGTTTAAAAGTTCTGCTTATTTGAAAATCTTTATCACAAAATACCACTGAACCATAGATCCATCACTTAATGTTGCAATGTTAACATAGCAATCCACAGCAAACTACATTAATATTGAACAAAGCTAAATTAATAATGATCTGTGTTATGAAAAATTCATAATGTGTAAACTTTGAAAAACTCAAGATATTGCCAATGACTCAAAAATACATTCTGAGAAATTGCAGGGATTCCAACTCTGTGCATATATACAGTGATAGTACGTGATTTATAGTCTTGTCTAATATGGTGTAGCAGGCAGATATCTCTGGATAGAATTCAGGTCCTGGGGAAATTCCAGTGACTTGCTAAATTTAGTTTATAAACTGTTACATCCTTAAAAAATGACAGCCCTTGGGACTGTCTAACTATGGCCCATTAAAAAAAAGAGAGGCCCTGTTAGGTCAGTTTGCAGCCATCAGGAGCACCTCTGTGACCTCCAGTGGATGGTAGACCCCCTGGAAATGCTGGTGGAAAGCCACAAACCTTTCCAAGAGGCTCTTCTTTGCAGGGTGTGCCATAACTAGGCTAACTGGCAGAGGGTAGGTGGAGGGCGCGCTCTCCTTGTCTTCTGCTTTGGTCCTATCCATTACTTTTGATTCCAGGTCTCCTCAGACATCTATTCCAGGCTGAGAAAGGCAGACATCACAGATGTGGACTATGAAGATGCTGTGTGAAGTTACTAAAGATTTTGGGTTTTGCAAACCATCCATGACCTTGAGCCTCCGACCCAACACAATCTTCCCAGAGATGGCGCGAATGTGCTTCCCAGTACCCTTCACCCAGGTGCTTTTCTCCTTGAAATGATTCCTTCATCTACTGTGAAGTGAAGTGTCACAAGCTCCAAAAAGAATGCCCTGGAGAACCAACTCAGACCAACCTAGACCAAGGGATGGGAGGACTTTGCTGCCAGAACCTGAGTCCTGCTGGCTCTTTTGGGAACAGGTTGAACTTCTTTTCATAAAAGGAAACTGGAATAAAATAAACTAAAGTCTTGGAGTAGAGGGACAGTGAGGCTCAGTGTGCATAAATGCAGGATTATAGTGACTTTGCAGGATTATTTCGGAGAGAGAGAGAGAGAGAGAGAGAGAGAGAGAGAGAGAGAGAGAGAGAGCTCTATATCCATAAGTGTTTCCTGTGCACACTGAACAGGCCACTCCCTGCCCTGACTCTTACCTGAATCATGCTGTTTCCCCCTAAAAAATTTGATTTAGTCTATTTTGAGTTGCTGCTACAAAATTAGAATTAAAATATAGTTACAAAGACAAATGATTGTGGTTAGACTGTTTTACTGGCTGATTTTGTCTGCACAGGCCAAACTAAACACCTCTATATTTATAAAAATCTTTATAAATTCCCCCACATCCTAAATTCTGTATATTGTTGCAGCCTCTAGAAGCCTTATGAATGCAACATTTCTTTTATTCTCAGACTTTTTGTAAATAAGGTAATATGATTTAAAGTCTGTATTCTAATTTTAAATTGATCACAGTCTCAGTTTTATAAGTTGAAACAATTTAGTGCTATATTAGGTACAAAGTTAAAGTTTTTTTCTGTAAGCTAACACAGATGGTTATCATTAGGGCTGGGCATTTAGCTCAGTGGCACTGTGCCTGCTTCACAAGTGCAAGGTTCTAAGTTTGATCCTTGGTACCAACCCCCCCAAAACCTAAGAAAACAAACACACAAAAAACCCCAAAACAAGTGGTAATCATTGATGCAACTTAGCATGTCTCACAATGGAATTTTTGTATTTTTTGTATGATTATACATACATGTAAATACTTATATATTTAAAAGTATACCTATTTAATAAAGTAAAATATTTTAAATCTACATATACATCTATCATACTATTTCAAGAGTCTGCATAGTAATCCATTGTGCAGATAAAACATACATTTTATTGTGGTAAATATATATAAAACAAAATCGATGCTTTTAATAATTTTATGTGTATAATCCAGGGACATTAATTGCCATCATATTATGTTTTAATCCTTTTCCCCACTGACAGACATTAAACTGGTTCCCAAAAAATTTATATTAAAAGATACTCTCCAGGAAACGTCCTTGAACAAGCATTTATGTACAGCTCCTAGATTGCCTGAAGGATGTATCTGTAAGTCTGGGGTTACTACATTGTATGTTATGCATATTAAATATTTTTGTCAAATACGCTTAACTTTCTCCTAGATAAGGCTCTACCAATGTACATATTCATCAATAGTGAATGAGACAATTTGTAGAGGAAAGGTATAATTTACAAAATTACCAGTACAGTTAACTATCTGTCCATGAATTGTTATTAGTAATTCTAATAAAAGCTTGTTGTGTCTGGCCTCTGCCAATTTCCTGTGTTTGTTTTTCTCATATAGGTATCATGATAGCTAAATATAGAGGCATAACCTACATATACTGAAATCCACACACTGTGTGCCCAGTCTGAGAGATGCATGCATCTCAGAAATGAAAACCCCTATCATATGGAATATGCTCATCAGTTGAGAAAGTTTCCTCATACCGACACCCCTATTTCTGCCCATCTCAAAATAACTAGTGAATACTATGCCTCATAGCAATTTCTTCATTGTGTATGATGCAAATGTTTTCACCTAATCTTTTACTTCATTTTCTGTTGATAATAAATTTTGAAATAAGGAGGTGTTGTGGTCAGGATTTGCAAGGAGAATAGACTTAGTACAGGCATAGAATTTATAGGATTATTTTATAACAGTCACCCAAAAAGTCAAATGCAGGGAAGTGCAAGACATTAGCTACACAATGGAGACCCGAAGAAGCCAGCCAAAGACCTTGTTCCACAGTGATGTTCCACACAAGTCCAGCTGAAAGTCCAGAGTCCAAGGCAATGTCCACCCAGTGGCCTAGAGCCCATAGCAATATCTCATGCTTGTCCATATTGAGAATCTGCAGTGGGAAGGGCTGGAGGCCAGTGGTGGAAGCCAGAAAACCTGCACTGGTGCGGTGAAGGATTTGTGCTACCAGGCTGAGGGATCTTCACCGGAAGCAGGAAGTGATGCTCATGGTGAGAATCAGAGCTCCCCTGAGAAGAGCAGAAGCCATTCCCAGTGACAGTGAGGACCTGAGCTCCTCATCTGAGGAGAAAGGCCAAGTTTGAATCAGGAAAACCAACCACAGCAAGCTTTTCCTAGAAAATCAACAGCCCGTGATCTTCCCCTCCACTTCTCTTTTTATGCCATTGGCAGCAATTCTCAGATGGGTCTGCCATGCCCAACCACGTTAATTCAGTTCAGCTGGGCATTCCAGGTTCACCATTAATTAATCCACCCCTGGAGGATTACTTTTTTTGTGTAGCTGAACACATTTTTTCCCATCTTGACATATGACTTTCCTTTTTTTCTGGTATCGTCTGTCAGGCCACAATTGCCATCTTACAAAAAAATTCTCTGATATTTTTGATAATGTTTCATTTTTCTTATATTCACTGACTATTTTGATGTACACATTTGGTGTGAGATAAGGTTCATTTTATTGGTTTTGCTCTTATATTTATGTGTTTATTCTTTGATAAGGATCAAACCTTATTTTTAAAATAGACATCATTTTTCCACCATTATTTATTAAATTGTTCTTTCCTGTTTAATTTTCATACTGCCTTATCTTACTCAAATTAAACATAAATCTGGGTTTGGACTCTTTACTATTACAGACCTTCCTGCCATACATCTTCTTGCATAAAGTACTTCAACCTCATTAACCTCAGTGGTTTCTCATGCATATCGTGTATAGTACTAATTCTGGAACTATATTTTCCACCTTCTATCTTTGCTTTCTTTTTTCCTTCAGCTGCATTTTCCTTTTTGAATTTCTGCCTCTGGCCCATGAGAAAATTCTTATCTTTTAAAATTAGCAAACATGCCTTTAATATTTTACGTTTTATCTGCCATACATATATGAATTGAGAGCTCAGGGTGGAGATAGGAGGGCTCAGAGGATGAGTATCAAATGACCAGAAGCTCAAACCTCTTTGTATAACCATCTGTTCACTTTAGTACTTACATTAAACCTGTGGCTTCTTATATTCTACCCTTATTTATTCATTAATTCCATTCCTAATGGAACTGAACTTTTTAGTACTATTTGATAGGGTATATGACCATATTGGTCTAAAAGTTCAAAAGTAAAATTGAGGATTGACATCTTAATTTTGTGACCAACAATTTTAATATTAATCACACAGTTGCCATAGTTTATTCTATCGCTGACTTTGAGAAATCTTTATATTTAACTTGTTCCTGTGTACTTAATCTGTCTTTTCTTTCTGGTTGCTTTTAACACTTTCTTTTTGTGTTACAGTTTTGCTATGACATGTATATATGTGAATTTACTTTGTTTTTTGAGATTAATAGCTATTCTTAGGATTCATTTTTTTTCAAGTTTAAAAATATTTATTTCTTGCTTATGATGTTGACTTGATGCTGTTTTAATTATATTCTTTGGAAATTAATATTAGAAATTTACTAGCCTTATTATTATAGCTCCTTAATTCTTGATTAGTATTCCAAAATTTTCAATTCTTTATCACCCTTTTTGTATTCTATGTAATCGTTTAGGCTATCTCTACATTCTACTCAGCTGTGTCTATTTTATTGCAAAACCTATTTCTTTTCTATTTAAATGATTACATTTTGTTCTTGCTAGCCACTTTATTAGCAAAATAATTAAAAGCATGCTTTTTAAAGGATTGTCTTGATTTATATTTTGGCATCATCATCAGCTACTAGCCTTGGGGGTCCAGTCAAATAATTAACCTTTGTGTTTGACTTTTAATTGGGACAGCAGTTAGATTTAAATATTTTCAAAAGAAATTAAAGCAATAAAGATAGGAAAGGAGGAAGTTAAACTGTCATCATTTGCTGATGATATGATAGTCTACATTGAAGACCCAAAAAGCTCTATCAAAAGACTTCTAGACTTAATTGACACTTTTAACAGAGTAGCAGGATACAAGGTCAACACCCAAAAATCAATAGCCTTCTTGTACACAAATAACAGACTCACTGAGAGAGAAATTAGGGAAAAAATTCCTTTCACAATAGCATCCAAAAAAATGAAGTATCTAGGAATCAACCTAACAAAAGAAGCAAAAGACCTCTACAATGAAAACTACGGCACTCTGAAAAAAGAGATTGAAGAGGATATAAGAAAATGGAAAGACATCCCCTGATCCTGGGTAGGAAGAATCAATGTAGTGCAAATGGCCATACTACCAAAACTGCTATACAGATTCAATGCAATGCCAATTGAAATTCCAACACTACACTTCACAGAACTAGAAAGAAGCATCCAAAAATTCATTTGGCGCCATGAGAGACCTAGAATAGTAAAAGCCATCCTAGGCAAGAGACACATGGCAGCGGGTATAACAATTCCCAATTTGAAACTATACTACAAGCCACTGTGATTAAAACAGCATGGTACTGGTAAAGAAACAGACCTGAGGATCAGTGGAACAGACTGGAAGACACAAAAACAAATCCAGATGTACTCAGCTACCTCATCTTTGACAAAGGAGCTGACCATCCTCAGTGGAGGAAAGATAGCCTCTTTACTAAATGGTGTTGGAAAAACTGGATCTCAACCTGCCAAAGATTAAAACTAGACCCTTGTCTCTCACCATGCACTAAATTAAAATCCAAGTGGATTAAAGATCTAAATATTAAAACAGAAATACTAAACTTGCTGGAAGTTAGGCAGAACTGTGGAAGACATTGGCATAGGAAAAGACTTTATGAACAAATCCTCAGTAGCAAGGAAATTAGCAGAAAGAATCAACAAGTGGGACCTCATCTTATTAGAAAGCTTCTGCACTGCAAAAGAAACCATCAACAGAACTAAGAGACAACCTACAATTTGGGCAAAACCTTTTACCAGCTGTTCCTCAGATGAAGGAATATTATCTAGAATATATGAAGAACTCAAAACAAACAGCCCCCCCCAAATATAAAGACCCCATTCAAAAATGGGCATCTGAAATGAACAGACATTTCTCAGACAAAGAAGTAAAAGCAGCAAGTAAATATATGAAAAAATGTTCCACATCACTGGTCGTTTGAGAGATGCAGATGAAAACAACACTGAGATTTCACCTCACCCCACAAAGAATGGCTGCTATCAAGAAATCACACAATAACAAATGTTGGCGGGGTTGTGGGGAGAAAAGAACCCTTCTCCATTGTTGGTGGGAGTGCAGACTGGTGCAACCACAATGGATATCAATATGGAGATACCTCAAAGAGCTTGGACTGGAGGTTCCATTTGACCTAGCCATCCCTCTGCTGGGTATCTTTCCAAAAGAATTAAAAGAATCA